CCGAGCATACAGTGTTTATTAATATATACGTTGGGTATATTATGGTATATACGTTATATAAATTGGCAGTCTTCTTTCCTAGTTACATTTTACTCTAAAATTTTCACCTTTTTTATCCAGTTTAAGTACCGGTACAAGTTGTCTGATGTTAAATGTTAGGGTTAAGGTACATTTAGCAAACTGGCAGGTACATGCATGCTTGGAAAACTCAGATCTGTTAATGGTTCGGGATATGTGGAAACTTGCCATTTATATACATGTACCTGTTTTTCTACTGTGTCTTGAGCTTGAGAACTTTGTTTTTCAAACTGTATGGATAAATTATACATGTACATGTACATCATTAGCTTGTACATGTAGGTACCAGTGCATATGTACATGTACACGTGCAGCGCATGTACATTTGTACATGTACGTATTTGCATCATTAGTATCCTAGATTCAACACCAATTTTAGTGTACTAGTTGACACCATGGCAGGGTGCCCATGAAGTCCAATTTTGACACCCAGACTATTGCACGGCGTGATTAGAAAGACCCATGCTGATGTACTTACAGTGGAACGCCGCTATAACAAACAAGACGGGGTCCATGCTAAATGCTCGGTACAGCGGTCATTCGGTATAGCGAATTTAACTTCCAAATGTTTTGTTGCCATGTCGAATAGTGCCCTCTCTTGTCTAACCAAGGTGTTACCTTGTGATACCTTGGCTTGCTGTTTTCGTGATGTTTTGCGGTTGCATTCAAGTTCAAGGTTCTAGAAATGTATCTGTTAATTATTTTTGTTTTTTATTTAAACTCAAGTCAAAAAATTGATATCGAGTTTATCCTAAAAGTCGTGAAACTACCGCTCAGGATTGATCTCTGATGCATGCTGTGGCAAATCTCAGTTGATTTGTGTATCAGCAGCACCCTCTTTAGACTATTATTAGTGCAATGCCACCGTGCACGTACACGTGATTTTCTTCCGCACCCGATCATGTGGAGTTGCAGAACCAGTGTCTATTCAATACCGTTGACAACTAGTGGCCTTCCCTTCTAATCCTTGGGCAAATGCTGGCCAATTGTCACTTTCCAACATAAAAAAACACTGACTGTTTTATCATGTTGACGTTCGGTAATTACAAACGGCAACTGAATAGTGTTTGATAGATTCTGTGCACAAATTATTGGGAGCCAAGGATGATGTTCGGTACAGCTGAATGTTCGGTATAGCGGTACTCGTTATAGCGGCATTTCACTGTAGTTATATTATATCATATGCACATTGCATTTACATTAATTCTTACAATGTTATTCCCAGGTGCCATACATATTGTTCTACATTAGGGGAATAATGATTCATGGATGCTTTGGTAAGCGTAATACTGAAATTTCACGATATGGCATCGTGATACAAAACTGTATCCTGACACTTGAAGGATGGGGCTAATACAGTTCAATGTGAGAGAAAGATTATTAAAGTTGGAAATAAAGTTTAAGACTGAACAGGAAGCTGTTGACAAACTTGCATGTATTTTTCGGTGTAAGGCTGAAGCCTTATGTGGTCCAACGCATACTGTAGCTTGTTTGCCTGCTAAAATGAGTTACAAAAGGTATAAAGGCGGGATCTCGCTGTGTGGTCAGATACATGTATGTTGTGCAACATGGCTTGCTACTGGGTAGACCATGAAACTGTAACGGTTCCAATTAAAATGGTCCCCTCTTCCAGAAAATATTTGATTGGGTGGTCACCGGCTCGATCTGATGGAAGTGGTTGCACAGTGGCAAACAGAAGCATGTGGTGTGCAGCTGGCATTAAGCATTTATATGTTTGCTGCATGAGAAATCCAATCTCTATGTGACGGCGTGAGACAGCATGAGTGTCATGCAGAATTTGTTGGCAGCCACGTGGAGTTTGTTGGCTTTTCTCACGCCATGATGTTTTTGTTTTTGAATGAAATTGCCACCGGAGATCAAAACAGCCTCTGAAAGTTTACAAGAGCTCATGCACATCTCTGAGGCAGAGATAATGTATGCATCATTTGTGTATATACACACACGTGTACCTAAGGAACATGTTCATGGATACACGTACCATTGATCTGCAGCCCATATTTATACATACACATGCAATACATGTACATAGTTTGCATGTAGAAGATGGTTTTTGCCCAAATGACCAACTGCATCCTGCAGTTAACAGCAGAGCTGGTGTGTTGGCCTCAATTTAATTAGTGTCAATCTTGCTCATTAAACTATTGCCAAAACATGGCCTCAAAACAGTTAATTTTCTACCGATAAGTAATAAGTTTAATAAGTAACCCTCAAAGCGCATTGAAAATCACACAGAATCTATATGTACATAGTCTAATATGTTGTCCCTGTCGTAGGCTTAAGAAGTGTGGGGAAACAGTGCGGCATATTGTAATCGTCTGTAAGTTTGGAGCCACCTCAATGCTTCATCCTTTTATAATTAAACAAGATCGACATGTAAACATGCGAGGCTTTTCTGTGCCTGAGCTGTTCACGGAAGACAGTTAAGCATTCCTTTGCAAAGTAACTCTCTACGCAGTTGTGGACAATACCTATTCCATACAGTTGTATTTGATGATGAGAGTGAGAGGCAGTCGGCTGGCCCGGGGCCACCAAAATTTCATGGGGTCACTGCATTCTCCCAAAACAATGGCTCAGCGGGACAGTGGTCATTTGAGGAACAGTGCCACATTTTCAAAACTTTCATCATATTTTACAACTCATGTTTCAAATCACCGGCCCAGAACTTTTGAGATCAAGGTATAATTACATAGTCCGAGTGGCTGGGCTTGTGCACCACATGCACAAGTACCAGCGCGACATTCTGTTCACTGCATGGTCCTGGATACAGCTTACACATGTGAGGCAAGCACCTGCCCTTGTATGTTGGCTTTTATCATTTTCTTGAACAGTCCCAGTTTAACGTTATTTCCCATGGACACCAGTGAAAGCTTTACAGGTCATGTTGTGTTGAGTCTGATTGTCAAGTGCCAGTAATGTAACCTCTAATTAAATTTGTGAAGAAAAAAATACATGTATAGACAACATATCAAGTTCTGGGAAATTACTTGTAGAAATCGTCCTGCAACATTTTTTTCTGATGTGCAGCTGTAGAGTTACACACTGTATGTGTGTGTTCGGTGAAGTATACAACACTATTTTGACCGGGATGGACTGGTTTCTCCGTTAATGCCACCTTTGACAGTGGCGTAGGGAGCAGGTATCAGTGAAGTCTTGCTTCCATGCACTGAGCAATATTGCATGCATGTTTTCACCACCATGATAGCGAAATGCAAGAGGAACTTGTGAAAATATTGGAACTTTCTTTCCAATGGTGAATGTAAGGGGACAAACAAAATATACAAGTCTTTAGATATGAAAAAAATTGTTGAGAGGTGTTTTGTGAAGACAGGAAAGACAGGATTTGTTTTTTCTTCATTTCTTGTCTTCATTTCTAATCTTGTCTGCACCTGCATGTAATCTAGCGATGGAGAAATCTCAAGTCTGAATTTTGGCCTGTCATGTTTATTGCAGGACAAGAAAGATGACTGTGTTCTTGGTCTGTCCTTGATTCACCTCTGTCCTGATGGGCGTGATCACCAAGGAGACATTTGATAACAGGCTTTGGTGCCACTGTGGTGACTGGTCGGATGCTTGGTGTTGCATTGGCAGCACCAGACTGCTTTGTTCTACCAAGCCGATAATGCTTTGACCACTGTTGGCAAACCAAGGTAGGTAACCTCAGGCAAGGTAGTCAAGACTGTTCCATTTGCCAATGCTGTATTTGACTGAAACGGCACGTAAAGGGTCCGTGCGGTGAATTTTTTTGCAGACACACTTTTGGTGCTTCTTTATTTGCCAAGGTTACAGTGCATCTTCCCCAGCAAAGAAGAGATAAATCTATGGGAAGGTTTTCAACAGGGCTTTGTGCACATTCACATTCACACAGAAATTGATCACCCACGCTCAGCACGTTCTGTGCCAAATGCACATTAACCTGTAAATGCACTGTCAGCTTCCACAGGAGGAGCGTTGCTGCTATGTAAAAACTCTTGTTTCTACTCGTAGAGGATACTTTTTGCTATGATGGGAAACCATTTGAGATCGTTTTAGGATTAAGTGTATTGGAAAGCACACATTTTAAAACAATTCAAATTGTCTAAATTTTTCTGGACAAATTGAATTGTACATGGTTGCGGTGCCTGGTACCTTCATCATATAGGCAAACTGGTTTCCTTGATGACTCTTTCTCTCGGCAATAATTTGCTGATTTTGGTAACTTAACTTACAGCTTATGCCAGGCAAAACAATTTATTGTGTTACCATAAACCCAACTTGACCTCAAATGTCACATACGCAGAACCTGCGATTTTTCATTTGAAAAATTCTTTTAAAATTTGAACTAGGGTTGCCAGCCCCAAAGCCTAATTCTTTTAGTGCATTGTACATGTATATTGCCCTGTAATTTTGTTATTTTTAAAATTTGCTGAAGAAAAGGTGGTCAGCTTGCAAAAGGAGCGAGCTATTGTGTGTTTGTAAGGACAGCCATCTTCTTTCTTCTGCATTCTTTAACTGCTCAACCGGTGAATATACATGTACATGTGCAATATTAAATCTAAAATTTTCAGTTTTTGTCAACCGTTAATGACGAGTGTAAACTGAAATTGATTTATCATCCTGCCCTAAGATTTTTTGCTAAAGAAAACTTTAGTTAAAAAGATTTTACCAACCTAACAATCATAATTTTTTTCAGTGTAATAAGACACACAACTGTTTTCATTTGCCCTGGATAGGCGGAACATCCTGTCCATAACTCCACAAGCTAAAAAGACCTATTTTCATTATGTCAACAGTACTTGGATGAAGGAGACGAGACCCTCAAGACTGCAAGGCTGATCGTCGCTGTTGCAATTTTGTGCTTGCCAAGTGGTGTCATCTGCACCAAGAACAATTTCTGTTTCTACAAGGAGGACATTATTCCACAGCTAGTATGCCAGTAGGTGTCATTGAGGAGTGTGTGGTTAGAGCTCTCATCAGAGGAACGTCTATGGCAGTGCAGAGGAGAGAGAGTCATAAGACCGGAGATCTAGCTGAGGGTGCCGTGGTCCCTAAGTTGCCTTGGTGTACCCGTCAGTTCGGCAGTCCTCTGTGGATATGCTGCAGTTTAGATAAGATGCTTCGGAAAACTGTGAGGAGGGATCGCACTCCGTCGTCTTCTGCTGTTGACAATTCACCCATGGCCAGTCCGTTTGCTGTACACTCGTTTATGAACAGATTTGCCGGTTTACTGCTGAAGCCACTTGCAAAAAAAAAAAAGAACTGGAAGGACACTGAGAGTAACATTGGCCTTAAAAGAAAGAGTTATGGATGGAACAGTGGTGTAACTTGGAGGATATCAACAACAAATGAATATCACTTTTGAAACTCCTCCATCACAGCTGAACCGTTCGGCATAAAGTGTTCAAATTGACTTTGCTCGATCCAATTCTTGAATTTAACTTGGAACCAAGAGATATACTATATAATCTTTTGGGATTTCATAACAGTGGAAAAGGACAAATTCCTCCACTGATCAAACCTTTTTTAAGTCCACATTTTTGAGTTTCCTTGATTTGACTTTATTTTGTCACTGACATGGTGCAGAGAAAAAATGCACAAAACTAACCGGCAGAAGTTACACCACTGGGACAAGGCTAGACCTTTATCAGGAAGAGAAACCATGCTCCACTGTAACCTTATGGACCATGGTATTTTTAGTCCTTAGTATTTTTTCTACATAAGATTTCACAACCTGCCCTCGCTACAGTCACTAAAAAAGGACATCCAACATTTTTAACACAAGTTCCATAACCCCAGAAGGAACATGAAGGACTCTCATTATTGAAACTGGTAGTATGAGAAATTGTTCCAATTTGTACCATTTGTGCTTGCGAAATATTTTACTTTCATTTTCTTATCTCGGCAAAGCACTGTGTTACCTGAGCAGATTTTTGCGCGTACACTGTACCTGAGGGCAGGTTCCCCTAAAGGAAGTTTAATTTCTAAGTAATCCTAAAAATGCCAAAGTGGTAAAACCTTCAACAGCTACATGTACGTGTAAGATGGGTACGGTCCTCTACAACCACACATTGACAGTGTTGTCCTTTGAGAAGGATTCTGTTTTGTCAGTTCACACACCTGTACTGGTACATGTAGAGTGTGCCAGATCACTGTAGTCAGCAAAAAGGCTGGAGCAGTTGTGTTGTCTAACTTGTCTAAAATGGAAGATTTCCTGAAAGAGTGAAGTTACAGTATCCTGTAAAGTTAATGGTATCAAGGTAATTCTTAGGATGTTAGAAAACAAGAGACCTCTTTTAACATGTAAAAATGCTCATTATGCATACTTCTCAAAATAAGTCCTTTTTTAGTTTAGATGAGCTGTATCAAAGCAAACTCTGATGATCTGCAGTTGTTCAACTTTTCCAACCCCCCCCTCAAAAAGGTGCACTCTAATTCTCAGTTGTGTCTAAAGTAAGCAGGAATTTTAAAAACCCATCTTACACGTACTACCCAGAGTGTAATCAGCACCAATTGAAACTGCCCAGATTCATGCTGTGAAAACTCTGAAAGTTGGCGGACAAAAGCCGCTGTAGTTTGTGCGTGTGCCAACTTTAGCTTCTGCAAAGCTATCACTAAACTCATTTCTACATAAAACCTCTCCAATTCATCTGAAAACAGTCGCTGAGTTTTCCAGCATCAGTAGCCTCCAGTTCATACATTCTCTTTTAAAGAAATACATGTGTTGCTTGTGCATGCATGCAATGTGATCATGTTAATGCAAAAAGGTAACATGAAAATCAATGTGTGTGTGTTTTTTTTTAAGAAAAAGCATTTCAAGTGTTTCCTGCCATGTAAGTGCTGATTATACCCTGTTTTAATTGATGTGTTGAACGTTGACTCTAATTTACACATTTCTTATGTTTTACCACCAGGCAAACCGAAATAAAAACCAAAGCCCAGCCACATGCAGGCCCTCCTGGTGCGTGCACGTGTGTTCCCTGCCCGCAGACGCTGACAGGTTGGTGGTTGCCCGCTATCTGCATTGGCTTGTGAATCGGCTGTTGGTGATGTATACAACCTCCCTAAATCTTGTGAGTCTGGGTGATTGTGGATACCTCAGTAGACAGCAACATGGTAAGGATCCTCTGAACTTTGGCAATTGGTCAGTTTGTCTACCAAGCAGATGTGCATGACCACTGCTCTAGGGATGGCAGTTCAAAGAGAACACCCGTGCATCGACCCCGTCATTGCTCACTTGACTTTTCAAGAGTTCTCCAACATCTCTGTCCTTGATCTGAGAAAATGAGAGTTTACAAAATGGTTGACTTTTTGTAGGCTTCCTTGGATATTCAACAGTGTCAAAGGATGTTAGGTTGGTTGATTACGCCCTCGTTCACGGCGAAAAGTCCATTTAACTCAGCAGTCTCTCTGCTGTTATATGCACATGTTCCAGTGTCACTTTGCAAGCAGCGTGGAGTCTAAAACACTTTGGAGTGCACTAGCATAAAAAAATTAAAAAAAAAACTGAAGTAGCACGTCGCAGCATGTCATTGAATCAGGAAGAGTGCAGGCTTTACATGAAAAGTTAAATCCAAAAGCTACTGGAATATTGGTTCTTTTTAGCAAACTTGTTAAGTCCATAGTTAAGAAGGCAGTAGTCCTTCGTGCCAAAATTGTTGACGAAGCTCAAATTTCTGCTTAAAAGCCCGCTGAAAAATGAAATTTTCTTGGAAGCGTGTAACATGTCAGTTTGAAACTACTAAATGTAGTGCTTTGTGCCAAACATTTTACTTAGCACATATTTTTTGGTATTTATGAAATCTTCAAAACTGACATTTCATGTTTCAAAGCCACTGAAACATCATGTGAAAGGGAGCATTTTTTGTGGAAAAAAAGCAATTCACAGATTTGTTCCTACTCAAAGACGTCAATTTTGTTGGGGTAGTGTCATCAAAACTTGTTAAATTTAATCCATGTAAGAAGAAAAATATCAAAAATGGAAAGAAAAAGAGTAAAAAAAGAAGCCAAACTCTTCAATCTGCTTTGAAGAAGTCCCTGGTTTGCCAAGAGGGAAAACCACACTGTTAGATTGCTCGGTGGATGATGCATCCGGGCCATTCACTCCAATCACATGGGAGACACACACACACATGCAACCTGTTCAAGGAACGAAGCAGAGTTCTGCCCCACGAGTTAGTTGAACTTAAAATTCAAGAGTTAAAAATGCCACTGTATGAATAACTTTAACTACCGCACCACTTTCCCTGACACTACCTGCTGCTGTCAGGTACGCCTAGCACAGTTCACTGTCTGGCACTTTTTCCTTGACAGTTTGCCTGCCACATTGACGTAATATGGTGTATGAAAAACCTCAACCCCGTCGAAGGCTCTTTTCCTGAGAGCAGGGGGGCCGAGGTTTCCTGTACAAAGAAAATTCAGTCACATTTTTAAAGACATCCTTCATCATTGGTCAAAAGCCCAGAGGGGAAAAGTAATATACGGATGGACAAGGTGGGAGCAAAATTGATATGTGTGACCCTCAATCGGAGGAGTGAATGGCCTGGGAGATTGGGTAGCCAATCTGTCTGTCAGTATCCTATACAGAAACTGTGGCATCGACACGGGGAGCCAGTCCCGGCTACAAGGTCCATGGTAAGTTCAATTGAAGTTTGTAGAATTGATTCGTGCACTGGTGTGAACAAACATGGTTGTACATCCTAATGTCTCTAAACCCAACTTTGTATCTCATGGCTAGGAGTAGGACTGTAGTCTGTATGAACAAGGTGGTAATGTGCAGATGGTCTTCAGTCTAAGGCAGTACACAGTGGCGTAGCTGATGGGTGGGGCATGCGGAACTCAAGTAAAAGTCACTGATAATTTGATCAGCCATTGCGAACTTGCTACCAATGAATAATATAAGCTAAAGCAGGCAAACCTGGCTGTTAAACTGACTGGTTAAAAACTGACTAGCTGACCATTTATTCCTTTCTAAAAACAGCTGCACATAGTTACAGTGTGTTGCTCACTCTGATATTTGGCAGAATCAGCAGCAGCTATATGTTGTCAGTGCAGTTTATTCGTGACTGCTCAGTAAACCCGTACATGTACATCAATCCTGTGAATATTATGCTGTGCTTGTTTAACTTCTGCAATGCTCGTACAGCGGCAGTGGTCAGGAGAAGAGACCAAACTTTTGCATGAGCCTGACAACCAGTTGCCTTCAGAATGGCTGTGTGCAGTCTGTGAGATATCCAGCCATTATGAATCACAGAAAAACAGCAGTTAACTTTGACAAGATAGATCAGAATTCTGGTAGAATTCTTGAGATGCACTGGCAAATGCTCTTAACTGCTGAGCATTGACCCAAATTGTCTGTGGTTTTGGTGTTCAGTCGTGGAGGAGCCTTTTCAGTGGCTGTAGCAAGCAACCCTCCTTCACACTGGTTCCAGGAGGCACATGTAGAACCAATCAGTAGGTCCTGGTATCAAGAAGCTAATGGCCAGATGTCGGGAATTAGCAAATTGTGTGTGTTATGCCTGCAACTGGACCCACCCCCACCCTCAGCTACGTCACAAACACGACTAAACATAAAACGAAACCACAGGAAATGCCTGTTGGTGTTTTGTTTGGAAGAATCTTGATCAAGGCTGCGATAACATTTCTTTTCTCATTTTCAAGCACAAAGAAGTGTTGGAATATTCTTTGGTTCGAGAACCTCATAATTTGGCCGTAGATAATCCCTTGGCAAATCAGAAAGCACGAGAGACTGTAAAAAAATGGTTAACCATCCATTTCAAAGATGCACTCTCAATGTTAAAATGAACAAGTCATATGATGTGTCTAATGTAAGGCATCACAGTATACCTGAAGCAGTTCAACAAACCTTGGCCAGATGGAAGTTGATGAAGCAAGGGCTTAGCGCCGAAGCCCAAAAGGCAGTTGCTTGAGAATCGCTGTCTAATTTCTGGTCTTTCTGTAATGACTACAACCTCCAGCATCGAACCTAGTCCATCATTCACAGAAGGCTTAACTCGCATTTGCCTAAATGTCCACCAGACAGGTATGGGGCTTATTGTTGAAGCCTTTTAACCCCAGCAAGGTCTTGCCATGCATGGCTTGATTTCTAGTGTCTCTTGTACGGGGATTCTTTCTGCAGTTGTGTTATCAGTGCCTCAATCAAGACCGATCAAAAAGGAAATGCTTTTGTCCAGTCCTAACATTCACTTAGAAACAAACTTTCTCAAGTAAGATTTATTAAATCTTCCGATCATCCCAATACTGTTTGCCATATTTGGAAAAGAACCTCAAAGACTGTCAACAGTCAGTACTGCTTTAGACTGAAGTCCATCACGTTCCATGCATTTTTGTCTTAAAAAACATAGGAAGGTCTGTTCATGACAGGGATCACCTATTTTGGTGGTGAAATAGTTCCATTTGAAATAGTGCCGTCTAACAGAAGTTGTTACATGTCTTTGTTTGAATAAAGTCATGGAAAACAAATAACTAAGAATATCCGAAGGCCAGTTTTAATGGTGAGGATGCCCTTTCGCAACAGTATTTCTGGCTGTGTGTCATGGAATGATTTGTGTGCAATTCAAAGGCTACACCACCTCATTAAATTTAATTGTGCTGTTTTATCGATTGTATATTGACAGGAAAATTTGCAGATGTGTCGTCATATTTTTGGCGGTCTTGGTGCCCTGTTATTTACTTACCAAAAACATTTTTCTCTAAACATCCTCGACCCCATCTGCATAAATTTTGTTTTGGCAAGAAGGAAGATTAAGAAATATCAAACAAAATGTGGTTATCTTTTGAGCTGAACGTATTGGTGATCCCTTTTTCTGGACAGATCCAGGATCAATTTTCATCTTTTAGCTTAAATCTAGAATGGAAAGCACCTGTGTTCCATTTTCAAACCTCACGTTTTGGTAGAAGCTCGTGGCCAAGTCCAAGTCAAGTTTATCTTGTCTGGTCACTTTTCAGTTTAGAGTCAAGATGGTCAAGTCTGAGGTAGAGTTATTTAACATTCCTAATTCAGGAGACGAGAGTTTTCGCCCATGTAACCCTTGTAACTTCATTAGCAGTGAATCTACTATAAATCCACCTTTTCCATTTTGGAAAAACAGTATTTTTACTATCCTAAGTAATTAAAAAAGAACCATAAGCATCAGCCAGATATGCCTATAATTTGATTACATACCACTCATTATGTGATTTCCCAGTTAGAAAGTATAAATTTGTTCCAAAACGATCTCCATATCACTAAAAATAGGTTCAAAAGGCAGTGATCTTGGTTTCCTACTTCTGAATTTTTGGCTGTTCAAAAGTAAATTGATTGGTGACTGATATCTAATCTGTGATACAGATGTTATTGAAGCCTCAGATGAATCTAGAGTGCACCAGTTTTAAGCTTTCACCAATGATATTTGAAGAGTCTTATTGACACAAGTTAAGAGAGGGAAGTTCCAAAGTTTTTTCAACATTAATCGCGATGAACTGACAGGTTACGGACGCCTTCTTGACAAAGAGCTCCTTCAAAAGGAATCAGAGCTTGAACTCATAGGAGAATTGCGTACATAGTATATGTCTGTGGGTTTTCACTCACGTCTTACTTCAGCTGCAGTTTATACTGTTACCCGTATGTCTTCCTCTTTAAGAGGAGGCAGAAGGAAGTTCAGTAAGTGTTAGTATATTTTGCCAGGTTCGAATTTTAATTGAAAATACATGTACAGATCGCAAAGTCAAAGGACAGTTTCTTGCAGTCGTTTGTTGGCAAGTTTATTGGTCCCCTGAAAGGAACAAGTTTACAGATGACGCGCATGTCTGTAACTATGGGTCAGGGTCTTCATTATGTTCTGCAGCTTCATACCACAGAATAACAAGGAAACAAATTTCTAATGTTCAAAGGTCATGGTTATTTGTTTGAGGCAGGTCCTGGGAAAATCACAGATTTGAACAAGGGAATGAGACAGTTGAACAAAGTTATTGTGTTTGCCAACGGGTATTTGTGCACATACATGTACCTGGTCCTATCTAGTAGTATGTTCTTTTATACTGTATAGAGTCTGAAACCTACTCAAAAGATGCCAAAGTACCACATGACCGCATGATTCACCCAGCGTTGTCAAAAGTTATAGACTAGACCGTGAAGGTTTTTTTTTTTTTTCGTGTAAAACAAGAGTGACGTCTGCCTAATCTCAATCAATCGTACCAATCCAGAACAGGGTGCGGGCCCTGAGTTATTCGCACACATTACCATCAAAGCGTTGCATACTTGCATACTGTGTAGATACTGTGCATTGCATTGTGGTTTTTGCCTGCAACATTGATGGACACACATTAATTAGGTCACATCGGTCAGTGAAAGTGCCCTGTTGATGCTACACGCTGTTCTCTAGTTTCCTGTCATTTTTTTTTTCAGATCTGCATTTTTTCCAAATTGTCAAACCTTATCAAGCGTGAAATAAGGCACTGTTTCCTGGAGTCCATTTCTGCATTGTGGCATTTGTTGCACAATTTTGTGTTCTTCCGAACTTCCATTTTTGGGGCTTACTGAAAAAATACACTTTCCAGATATTTGATTCACTTCATAAACACGATGTTTTGGTAGCAAAGTTTAAATCATGTCTACTTAACTTGGCATCAGATATTGGATAGAATGTAGTATATCTGCTGGCAAATTTATCAAGGATCACAGTAAACTTTAATTCAGTGTTGGCACAGATTTTGTAAAAAGTGGCCAAAGAATCTGTACTTGTATAAATTACACATTTAGCAGTGTCGGAGTTCCTACATGTACATGTACAAACCAGTACCTGTACGTATTTATGATATGGGTTACTGTCCATTGCCACCTGTTTTTCCCAGGGCCTGCCTAGGTCAGCATGTGAGCATGTACATTGCCTGCCTTATGCAGACAAGCCTATTCCATTTATGCCATGAGATTCTGTGGGTTTAGGGAGTATTAATGAGGATGTGCAACCATACATTGTACAGTGCATGAATTAATGAAAACTTCAATTGAATTTAGCATGGAGTACGGGACAGGCTAACCCCGTGTCATTGGATGCTGCAGTTTCTACGGATACTGACTGGCAGATTGTTACTGTATCATCCACTGAGTCATGGAGCAGTGCTGTGGTTTTTCGGAATAGGATACGAGGACAAAGCATGTGAAAAATGTTCTTGTAAAAAAAAAGTTTATTAAAGCAGTATTTATTCAAACATTTAGGTGTCCCAAAAGCAACTGAAAGAGGGATTACCGTAAAAAAAAAGATGAGCTAATATGTTTTGATTGCAAAGAAAGGTTTGGCTTATAATTTTTTGACAGTGTGTTGGAAAATGCGTGGAAAATGTCACATTCACAATACAGTCAAGTTCCATTACCAAGTTCATAAATGTGAGAGTATTCATCAATGGTACCGTGCATTCATTGAACGAATTAAACTGAGAGTTATGATGGCATTGCCCCACTGTTTTGAAAGCCATTCGGAACGCCTCGATATAAGAGTTCCTAAAAAAACATTGTTTAAATATTGGTTATAACATAGCCTCTAACACGTGCATGTAAATTTGAGCTTCAAAAACTCAGCATTGTTTAAATGTTTCAAAATGTCATACATGTGCATTGAAAAATGGCAGTCTCGAAAAAACTGTGTAAACTTCTAAATTAGAATGCCTTTCTAGGTATTCAGTGGGAATTGAAATCTTTGCAGATTGAATTTGGCAATGTTTTTGTCACCAAAAGTCAAACTTGCACTCTTCCCCGTTTCCTCTATGCTACTTGCAAAAAAGTTTCTCGGAAACAGACAATACTTGTAAACTGCGAAGCGTTTTTTGGAAATTTCTGCGTTTGTTACATTAACATATTGATGAAGAACTTATGTGCGGCGGATGTATAAGACAGCATTGTCATTCCGAATGAGGGCAAATTCAATTGATGTAACATCTTTTGACACTTTGAAACGTCCAAGGAAACTCGCCAGAAACAAAACCATTTGTATCTTTTGTTTAATTGGATCAAAAGACAAGATGGAACTGAACATCTGAATTGCTCATGGAACAATCAAGGGAAGATGCAGTGTCTCTTTTTACTGTCATTCTCCAAGTAGATGGTGGGTTTCCATGGAAACGTGCGGCGTATACATAACCCAAAGCAGCATCTGCTTGGTAGAAAAATGAACTGATTGTCAGAGTTCATAGAATCCTTATTATGTAGGTGTCTACTTGGGTTTTCCATGATTGCTCAGATACTTGCAGGTTTTTGGGGGGGTTTGTGTACTTTTATCAGTGGTTGATCACAAGTTGATGTGGATAGTTGGGTGACTGCCACTTGTTGGAGTCTGTGGGCAGGGAACATGCGTGTGCGCACCAGGAGGGCCTGCATGTGGCTGGGCTTTTTTTTTTGGCCAGTTCAAAGGTCAAAGTTCAAAGGTCAGGTCAAAGGTCAGGTCAAAGTTCAAAGGTCAGGTCAAGGTTGGAAGGTCGGGTCAAAGTTCAAAGGTCAGGTCAAGGTTGAAAGGTCAGGTTAAAGTTGAAGCTTGAAATAGAAAGACCAATAAAAACTTAAAGGTACCAGATGCACTTTCTCTTTGGCTTCTTTATTCCGTACTCATTTGTAAAATTCAATTAATAGAGCGCCCTCTATTTGTATACAGCATTTCCCCACTAACACCAGAGGGCGTTGTCTCTGCCAAAAAGCATCCCTTGTTTCCCTTCACCCCCTTCATGAAAAACACTTGCATGAAAGTCCATCTGCCATCTGTTCTAAGTAGTAACTCTTTTTTTAAGTTACTTGGAATTAAAAAATATGCAGTGCCATATGTACATTGACATAACTGGGCAAATTTCTTTTTGTCTAAACTTAAATTCAAGTTACATGTCAAAATAGACAGCAGATGTACTTATGTACTTATTAAGAAAAGAAATCACTCAATAACGGCAATGTATTCTTTTATTTATACAGTGAGTAGATCAACACTAGCACATCATACAAAGAAATAGACCAAAGTTAATTGATTTTTCACGTACAAAGTGTACATCTGGCATTAAAAGCTGTGAAACAAGCACATGTATTTTCTTCATTACTGGAGCAATTCCATTTCTTTTATCCAACAAGCCAGATGTTTGTTTTTGTCTAGCGTGAAACATGTTTGGTAGAGTACCATACATTCAGCAAGGCTTTGTTCAATTCCTTGTTTAGGAATGGCAATAAATGCAACGGCTCCACCTCTATTAATTAACAAGACGACAAAATACTCTACATGTAATTTCTAAATAATCATATGATGTGCTAGTGTGAACTGCATGTACATTGTATTTGTTTACATTGATGAATAGCGGTCTAACAGATACAACAAATCTTAATAAATAGATCTACATATTTGTAAAGAATAGCATCTTAACACTTATTTCAATCCAAATCAATGCAATGAAACCAGGCATATATTTACAAGTACATGTATCTGCAGTCAAGAGATGCTTTGATGAGATTAAATGACTTGTTCTTGTAAGCAAGTACTCTGAAAGTAACTCAAAATTCTTATTCAGTTAGGAATATAAAAAACAACTGTTCTATGGACTGCTTCGTCATGAAACCTACTGTACTTATAAAACAAACCAAACTGTGCCTTTTGTAAGACATTTTTAAATGGACCGATGGCACTGTATTTTCTTGACAAATAGTAAGCAGCATTTTTTGTTGTTGGATGAAGATCAAAGCCTTCTTGATTTTTCTCATACATGTATATTTTGCACATGTGAAGCCAAGTTCATGACAATCAGATGCACCGTTTTTGCAGGCCATCACATTTTCGGATGCAAGGTTGCCATCTTTTGCCCACAACAAACAGTATGCATTTGTGGACTGTAGTGCTAGTAATGGACAAAACTGGTCGAGGCTTTGCATGTGTACTGATCACTGAAGTCTACATGTTCAGTCTTACGAATGTCAGCCCTAAAAAATACAATCCTCTTTTCAAACCTATGTCAAAGCCTACAGACTAACTTAAATGAGGCTTGTTTTTTTTTCTAAGAGACATATGCCTGGTTTCAACTGAAATTTTAACAGGACAAATCCATGGCAGTTCTTATAAAAGTATTCATTGAAATAGGCCGGAAACTCTAAATAATGTCATAAATGCTTTAAATATGCTTAGGAAAAATTCCACTTCACCTCGTTTTACTCTGAATTAAGAGAAATTAATTAAACGTGGTACTCCACCTTCACTGAGAAGACTGTTTCAGTACTTTTCTTAAGTTTTCCATCTTTGAAATGCCATGGATATGCCCTTTTCCTAAGATGAGTCCAAGTAGTCTTGAAGATGAGATTTCCTTTGCCGTACCAGGTTGAGACATTGGGGGAGCTTGCACATGTAGCTTATGTCAGCCAGAGGCTTGCAGAAATTCTGTTGATCCTTGGCATTTATGTTGAAGGAAAAAAAGAAAGAATTGTATTAGCTCCACATTTTGAATTTTTTATGAAATGGCAGGGTACAGGATGACGGATTGACCAAAAAAACATGAATGACCACAGGTAAAGTGATCATACATGTACATTCCATTTCCAAGACAAGCAAGGAATATTTGTATAGCCCAGCTCAAGTTGTAAACAATTCATGATTAGGATAAGTGCCAAAGATTTGCATTTCAATGGTTCAATCGTGGGATCTACAACTGTAAAATAAATGAGCCCATTTATCCCAAATGGGATACTACATGTATGTTTGATTTAACAGCTGGTTCAACTCTTTAGATGGAATGCTGCTTGTACGATTAATCAAATTAACATATGTAAATGAAATTCCACATTCATTTTTAGTCATTTTTGTTTTAACATAACACCCTCATCCTGTACCCTGCCTTTGGTAAATAACATTGGAGCTTTGGATTCCCATGTCAATTTCCAAACAGTGGTAAAATGATATAAAAAATACATATGAAAACTCTCATGACGTATGAAGTATACAAATCAAATCTGTCTTGTTTAGTAAAAACAATTTGTATTCAAAGTAGCTATCAATTGATGTGGCATTCTGCTGGTTGTAAGAACAAGATCAGGCACTGCAAGCTCGTGGCCTTTCAATGAAGGAATCTAGCCATATCAGCATTATTACCAAGATAAAAATACATGTACATGTACCTCTACTTTGGAAGAATTTGTAGTCGGAGATAGAACAAATACTAGGGCTGTACTTATGCCAATAGCTGTATGGAAGCACTGCAAAATCTTCACAGTGGTTTTAGAATTGGTTAATAAGAGTATACAGCATGAGGTAATCATTGTGCATAGCAGCTCAGAAAACAGTTTGAAATAATGCATTAAAAATCAATCTGCCAAAACTAAGTGAAAACTGTTACTTTGCATGCAGCTTATTGTTTTCTTTTAACTTAAGAAATCAGGGTTGTCGATGTTCAATTAATAATTTCAACAGTAAATTGTTTGTAGATCTATTTTCCTGGGGAAGTCACGTACATTCCGGACAGGCAGGTTGTTGACATGCACTATACATGTAAACATTGCTAACAAAAAGCTGAAGATACTAGGACAACAGTAGTAACATCCAGGGGTTGAAATTAACTTTTTCCTGGTAGCCAGCAGGACCAGTACTTCAAAATTTCCACTGGCCCTGCTTAAAGTTTGGTAGTCCTACCAGAACCGCACACGCAGCTACACTGAACAATCTTTGTTAGACCAGCCAGCTGACCCTGGCAATCTCAGTGGTCGAATGGTTAAGACGTCTGCACTAGTAAGCAGTAGATCGTGGGTTCGAGTCCCATCCGAGTAAGCTTGTGACTTTTTTGCAAGTTCTCGGACAAGCACTGAGCATACAGCATTTATTAATAAAATGTACATTGGGTAAGGGCAAACCCCGTTATATAAATCCTTGTTAGGGGGCCTACATGTACATGTTAATATACCAGATAACATTTTGTCGTCAAGACTAGGGACGTTTACAAAATGAGTGGATAAGGCTTAAACTTTTGTTTCGCTGGTTCCAGCCTGGTCTGGAACATGTGGTTTCAAATGCTGTTTATAAAATAGCAAAACTACAATTTGGATTATTCTCATGTCACGCAGCTAGGTACACGCAGCAAGCAAAACTATATGTGGATCCACCACGCTACTAATTCGGGTAATATGTACAAAGACCTTTTTTCCCCAGTTCTTCAGTATTTTGTACTGGCCCACCAGACCACCAGTTCAATAATTATTGGATCAGCCGTAAACAGACCTTTCTACTGGCCTTGGGCCAACAGACCATTTCAACCCCTGACATCTGTCAAGAACATTTAACTTCTTGTAGAGGACAATGTACATGGGGCCTAAATTCTGTCCAGTTGTGAGTTTAGTAATATTAAGACATGACAGTGTACCTTTTGGACATTCACTATTTCACTTGTACACAAACACTGAGGCTCTAGATCTTGTGGTGGAACAATTTGGGAGCAACATTAAAAGAAAGGTCAGAGGAAGCTAACAGAGAAGGAAGAGAGACGCACTGCAGAGAAAGAACCCTAGGAAACCAAGACTTCAGACTCTTGTAATTGAAGCTGGAGAACTTAATTTCGTCAAAAGCAAGCTTTACTAAAGGTTAAGAAAGGTTTTTAGAATGGACTCCCACTGGATTTTTAAAGGGAAATAATACTTGACAGGAAACCAGCAAGAGAGAAAATGGTCTTCCGGCGTACAGCTCAAAGAATGGCATGATGGGTTCGGATAAAGTGAGACCGAAGTCAGGACTGTTGGGACAGAATGATGTTGGTACTGGACAAAAAGAAACAAAAAATCAATGTCCAGATGCAGAATATCATGGATGCCTAAATGTTTTGCCTAAATGACCTTTTGCATTTGTACAATCTGACACTGTATCACATATATATGTAGTATTCCATTAAAATGTGTTTCAGGATCACAAAATTGTTTTTGACTTTTCATTTTAGCCTTATTAACTTGAGAAATGAAGCATTATATGAGTTTTCATGCAAAAAGTGGAACTTCTTGAGATGTTTAGGAAATCATACTCGTTTGTGTAGTGTGTTGTTTCAAGCTGAATTCTCATTTGTTCAACAGTTCTGAATACTAGTTGCATTTACCTTTTAAATTTGATTACTGCTATAACATTTAACGAGCCACCACATTATGCACCATGCATTTTTTTCAAAAGTAGGGTTACAGTCATAATTTGGTACCTACTGAACTTTTTAGTATTTCTATGACTTGCCTTTGCATGTAAACCCAAAAGGAAGAGAAAAGGGATTTTTCCTGATAATGCTGACTGACTTGACTTCCCAACTTTCATCTTTAATGCTCTATGCCAAATCCAAAGATGTCATTGAGGTTATGGATGAGTACCGGCAAGACATTTACAATGACTTGTTAACATTATTACTGAAGGGTCGACAGGATCATCCAAGAATGTGAGATGCAGTAGATACACGTGTACTTGTATTATTTTTTCTCCTCTTTTGAAAACAGGTAGCAGAATAATTTTCACAAGGGGCCCTGTGGCCCCCCTATCACAAGTGCTTGAGAATGCTCCCAACCCTCCCCTCAAAAAAAAGAATGGCCTTTCAGAGCACACATCCCAGAAAAATCCTCTCCCCTCTGCACAAAGAACTAAATGTATGTTCATAGTGGTGATATTCTTCGTTTTCCCACAAAACGTCGATGGGTTGGTTAAGCATAATTTCA